TAACAAAGTATAAATAATGAAAATAAAAGGAGAAGCTCAGCCTGCCTTAGTCCCTGGAGTAGTCCCTAAAGCACTGCTTTCTTTCCTTTACTGTAGAGCCCACTGCTCCCTGAAAGCTCCAAGTCCTTTTTCTCAGAGCTCCTATGGCAGTGGCAGTGCGATGGGTGTGGCTTTTCATGGCTCCTTCCCTGTAAGTTGAGGGTTCACTGGATTTGTGTCTTTCCAGTTCTGTCATATTGAATAAACACTAGCAGGTGGTTGCAGAAGTTTCTTGCCAGCAAACATTGCAAGACTCTTCCAAATAATGAGCCTGCGTCTTCAATGAGGGGTTGAGCTCTCCAATGAGTCCATGGTTCTGTGACTGTCTCCATCTGCCTCCTTGGCCCCCATTCCATGTCTCAGAGGGGAACAGTCACAAGGGAGGAATGTCCTCATCAGAGAGGCTGAAATATCCACTGAGTAATCAGAGCAGGACTATAAATGCTCATGATGGAAACAAATCTAGCGAGATTTTGAAGAATGGAAGTGGACACTTCAAACAACCAACGCCAACAGAGACACTTCACGGAGATGGGGTGGTGATAGTGAACCTCAACAAAGAGAAAGCAGCCTGCCTTTAGAGACCAAAGCACGGCAGACCAAGCAAGTGAGCTTCAGGAAGACTGAACTCTGAATGTGCTCAGGGAAGCCTGAAGAGCTACTCATGCCAACACTGAGAACTCTGACAGAAAGGACTAACAGATTCTATGACCCCCCCTCGAACAAGAGTAATTTTGATTCTAGAGAATTTCACAGTTGATCATTATAAAAATGTCACGCCACTTGATGTAACACCTCAATATCATATTTATTCAGAGTCAGAGAACTTTATTTTGAAAGAGTTATCTAGTCTAAACCTCTTACTTTCAGTTGAGGAAACTGAGGCCTAGGGAAGGAGAATGATTTGTTGAAGTTGCCGATTAATGGATATAAACGCCCAGGTGAGCACTCAGCTCTCTTGACTACCAGCCACTGGCCTGGGTTGTCCAAAAATGGGCACGTATATCACTTTATGGAGTCCTGGTGTGGTGCTGTAGGATAAGCACTGGACAGCTAACAGTAAGGTAGGCAGTTCAAATCCATGAGCCACTCCTAGGAAACTCTACATAGGGTCATTATGTGTCGAACTAACTAGAAGGTACTTGACAACAATGTCACTTTACAGACTCACTTGAATGATACAATAAAGAAGCAACAGACAGAATGTTTTAGAAACCATAAAGTCCTTGGAATTTGAAATGACTTGTTTTTGCCATCTTACTCTTTGCCTGTCCATCAGAAACCACTTATGACACAGCTTCTCACCAAGAGCGGGGCATGAGTCTAGAGGCCCAGCGTGGGAGAGTGGAAGGGCTCTGGTAGGAAGGCAGAGTTTAGCTGTGTCCTCTTTCTCTCTGCTCCTCAGTGTCTCCATCTGTAAAATGGTGAGGCTGGCAAGAGCCTGTTGACTTGCTCATATTTTCACAAGTGTTTGCTTGTCTTTACAGACACTTGCAGACCCCAAGCATCAGCCAAGCAGCCAGTACCACTGACGATGTCCCTGAGTAGTTGTGCAAACACAAACTGAAATTCAGGAAGCATGTCTTGACTTTCTAGTACTTCCGTTAGCCGCAGACTTCTGCAGGCTGGTGGTGGTGGGGAAGTTGGCTTGTGGTCAGAGCATAAATAGAAATGCTTTATTTATTCATAAATAGAAATGGGTTCCACACTGTCGAGAGAATGTTCCACAAGTGCAAGTGCAGAGGTCAGGCCGGGTCTGGGGTGAGCCAGACTGAGGGTGAGGCAGGTAAGGTCCAACTTCAGTGAAGTGAAGCCAACAAAACTCAGTCAAGATAAACAATGTTTTTTACAAGTCAAATGGATATGAAAATCTATAATGAACCAATTTTCTAATTTTAAATAAAGTCAGGATCCAAAGGGCCAGGCTTAGGGTGAGGCAGTGAAGGAGGTCATAAAAGAATAGCATTGTATCCTACTTTATTTAAAATTTTGATATTTTGTTCATCATGGATTTTTTTTTTGCATTAATTTTGACTTAAAATAGTACACTCAATATTGTTTATCTTGACTACTGAGATTTTTGGCATCCCTTTAAATTTTGCCACTTGTGTCATTCCTGGATCTGCATGCTGCAACTGGAGGGTTTGGGGTTATTTAGTCTGAAGAAGGGATGCCTCTGAAGTTGTGGCCACTGTTCCCAAGTCTATGAAGGAATACAGGGGCAGAAGGATCAATGGAGGTACTGTGGAGAAGTAAGTATCCCCCTGTTACTGGAAGGATCTGAGAATCTGTTGAGAAGTTGAACAGCATGCTCTGGAGGTCAAGCCTGAGGCCCTGCTCCAAGAGGCAAAGTGGCTGCATATTTCCCTGTGTGACTTCAATCATTTTGTAATTGAATCTTGCCTCAAAGATCTTGAGGACAGGAGCAGGGTCTCCTGACATTTTAGGAGTTTCCTGGTGGTCTGGAGCAAGGTCTACTTCCTCACTGATTCCAAATTGAAAACAACAAAGAAGTTAGTGAACTGGTGAATGTTGTCAAAACCTTTCCTCCAAAAATGACCTCCCAAAAGGATCTTCCTAAAACACATTCCTGTGCACTGTTTCCCCTTCTTGCACACCGCCCCAGTGCCCTAGGTAAAATCCAGGCTCCTTCCAGCAGCATTCTGGCCCCTCTGATGGTAGCTTGTGGGTCTCAGTTTAAGTCTTTCATCTTCCTTAAGTCTCTCAGTGTACTCATTACACCATTTGTTTCCATGGATTTTTTTTTTTTTTAAACTTATTGTGTTTTCAGTATTTTTAGAATAAAATATGGGGTATCCCTGAACCCTAGTATTTTTTAATAACTTAGAATAACCTCTAAAAATAACATTTACTAAAATAAAGTCAGTTGTTTCTTTTCATAAATCAACATCTCAGTATATATATATATATATTCATTGATTTTGGTGTGAAAATATTTCTTTCAACATTTTGTAACCAGCGTTTTCCCAGGTTCTTCCAGCTGCCAGCAGGATCTAAAGTGGTGTTTACAAAACGTGTCCTAATGATTTGCCTTCTTTTTCTTTTCTTTTTTTTTTTTAACAAATCAATAAATAATTTGTGTGGAGCTGGCTCTGGTTGAGATTAGATAATGAATGCAAGCAATGACCCTGGACAATCAGCACTGGACTGAGAACCACAAGGTTGGCGTTTCAAGTCCACCGGCTTCTCTGAAGCAGAAAGATGAGGCTTTATGCTCCTGCAAAGAAATACAACCTCAGACACCTTAGATACAGTCACTAAGAGTCAGAACTGACTTGCCAGCACTTAACAACACATAGATATTTATGATATATATATATATAGTTGTTGTTTGGAGTCCTGGTGTGGCGCTGTGCTCTAATGCATCAGATTGCAAAGTCATTTGAACTGCAAGGTTGGTGGTCCAAGATCACCAGTTGTTCCTTGGAAACCCTATACAGGGTCGCTATGGGTTGGAATCGACTTGATGGCCCTTAACAACAACAACAATATATATATTTTTTACTTTATTATGAAGCTTAGGAATTCAGGTAGGTAAGAACCCTGGATGTTGTTGGTGGTTATATGTCCTGGGGTCAGTTCTGACTCATATTGACCCTGCACAGGGTTTCCGAGGCTGTAAATCTTTACAGGAGCAGAAAGCCTCATCTTTCTCCCACAGAGCGGCTGGTAGTTTCGAATTGCTGACCTTGAGGTTAACAGCCGTACTCGTAATCACACTACCAGAAGAACCCTGTATGGGGTGGAGAATTCAACAATGCTCATGAACTTAGAGAAGACAGAAACGAATAATGTGTGTTGTACCAGAATGCTGGCTGCTTGCTGGTTCTACTGAGCAATGAGTGTTACAGTCTTCTCCAGGACTGTCGTTAGTTCTCAAGGCTACACTCCTACTGGGGGTTACTAACACCTGCTCTGCTTGTCTCAGAAGGCTGTGGTATATACAAAAGTGTTTCCAAAGTACACCATTCTTTATCAGTGTAATAGCCTCATGATTCACGGTGAGGACAGCCTGGGGAAGACATCTCTCAGTCATGCCAGCAGCTATTCCGCACTGAGCACCAAGGTGCCAGGAAATGTGCTAAATACCGATCAATCTGTTATTGATCCTCCTGACCACCCCAGAAGGGTCCATATTACCCTCTGCTGAAAGTATCCTGATAAGGGGGCAGTGATGGTTCAATAGCAGGCTTCCCACCTTCCCTGTGGGAGATTCAGGTTTGATTCCCAGTGACTGCCCTCATGTGTAGCCACCCCTTGCCTGCCAGTGGAGGCTTGTGTGTTATTGCTACGATGCAGAAAAGGTTCCAGAGAAACAACTGGAAATCTACTTCCCAAACCAGCCAATGAACACCTTATGGGTCACAATGGTCCAACCCACAACTGAGCACAGGAGCCGGGTTGCGCTTCATTCCAGCTGCATGAGGTTGCCAGGACTGATAACTAACAACAACAACAACAACAACAACATAAAGGTGAAGAAACAGAAACTCAGAAATCTCAAGCACAAGGGCACAAAACTGGGGTTCAAACCAGTCTGGTCTACTGCACCTGTATCAGGGGACTTTCCTTCCTCTGGGTTGTCAGGAACCTCAAAGTGACATTGCAGGTCAGAGGAGCAGGGACTAAAACCCTGGTGAAAGGCAATACCTGTGGTTGGTATTGCAGCAGGTTCAGGTCCTTCTCCTACACACACACAGTCTACACAGTGCTCTGGCCTCACTGAGTCCCACGATTCCTGAGAGGGGCATGCAGTGGAAGGCTGCCTGTTCCCATTCCACAGGTGAGAGCGAGACTCCGAGAGGTCAACTGATTTGCATAAAGTTGCATAGCAAGGGCCAAGACGCACTTAAAAAAAATTTTTTTAAACCAGCATCATGAGATAAAATGATCAAAGGCGAAGGGTCTGGGGGCAGCACTGGACAGACCAAGGCACTGACCTTTCCCGAGATGGTCTTGATCTGTTTGGAACTCAGAGGCTCAAAGTCCACACCAATGTAGCCCTCCATGGCAGCAAGCAGGTTCTTACGGAGGCAGCGGGATGAGTTGGCTTCCATGTGCACCTGGTCCCACCAGAAAGGCTCGTACCAGCCCGGGATGATCCACTGGTATTTGCTACCATACATGTTCTCCTCGTATGCCTGCAATAGATGGGTTGACCAGGAAGGCATATTTAGCCAGACATTTGTCCAAGGCTTTGTGCCCTGTGACAGAGGTAGAGGGGAGTCAAACCTTCTCTACCAGAGGGTTTATTAAGCATTCCATTATTTGCTTGGCCTCCTCCTTGTTACTGCTCAAAGAATCCAAGGTGGTTTATGGCCAATATGCACAATAAAATGATAAGCACTGAATAAAACTTGAATCATAAAGGCTAGGGACAATCTAAGTTATAATACATTTCAGGTAAATGAACTGAATATAGGCAGGCAGACCAAAGGTTCTAACACTATGCATAATTAAACATACATTACATCCCGAACTTCCTGGCAGCCCAAGAGAAAAGGGCAACAAGCTCTCAGCATCAATAAGGAGAGAACATACCAAATTCTCAAGGGAAACAAAATGTTTTCTTTAATCCTAAAAATCAAATTTCTCACAGGAAGTTGCATATCAGGACATTATCAAATTAGCCAGCAGAGTACTAATAGGATCTAGACAACGAGCAGACTTCCTGTTGCTGTTCTTGCATACAGAGCCTTACTGACAGCTGAGGTCACCTCCTGGCATAACTCAGGGACAGCAGTTTTTGAGAGGTGCTAAGACAATTCAATCTAAATATGTAGTTTATGTCAGATGCCACTTGGCAACCTGAACATTCTCTTTAATACTTATCCAAAACACTGTTGTTTTTAAGAGCTGTGGAATAGGTTCTAACTTATAGTGACCGTGTATAGGGTTTCCAATACATTTGAACCATCAATCTCATGGTTCAAAGAGACCTTGCGGTTCACTGCTTTATCCTACAGCACCACACCCAAAGCATGGTGCACCTAAATCCCAGATCCTAAAAAAACTCCCTTATATTTACAGGAATTCAAACTGAAACTGAAGAAAATGAAAGCAAGTCCACAAGAGCCAAAATATGACCTTGAATATATCCCACCTGAATTTAGAGATCATCTGAAGAACAGATTTGATACATAAAACACCAAAGACCAAAGAGGAGAAGAGTTGTGGGATGACATCAAGAACATCATA